GGCGGCGGGGCGGGGGTGGCGGCGGGGGGGGCCCGCCCGCGGGGGGCCCCGCGCCCTCGGTCCGCACCGCCGTCAGCGCCGGCCGCCGCTCCCCGGCCATGGCCGCCCCGCTCAGGCCGCCGCCCGCCGCATGGCCCCGGCCAGCGCGGGACCCCCGAGCCAGCCCGGGGCCGCTCCCGGGGCCACCTGCCTTTAGCTGCCCGCCGCCGCCGCCGGGCCCTCCCCCGCCGCCTCCCCCGCCCGCCCGGCCCGCCCCGCCGTACCTGGCCCCCGCCCCCGGGGCTCCGCGGGACGGGGCGGGCGCCGGGAGGGGGATGCGGGGATGCGGGAGAGGCGGCGGCATCCCCCGGGGGTGGATGAGCCTTGGGCACCCCCCGGTCCGGTGAGGGGACCCCGCGGGGTCTCTGGGGACAGGGGGTGTCCTGCTGCGCGCGGGCACGGGGTGTGGAGCATCCCGGGAGTGAGCAGCGCACACCACATCCCAGCTGCATCCCGAACTGCAACCCAGACCGAATCGCATCCCAAACCACATCCCAAACTGCATCCCAAACAGAATCGCATCCCAAATCACATCCCAAACTGTAACCCAAACCGAATCGCATCCTAAACCACATCCCAAACTGCATCCCACATCGCATCCTAAACCACATCCCAAACCGAAGCACGTCCCAAACCACATCCCACACCGCATCCCACACCACATCCCAAACACATCCCAGAGTGAGCCGCCCAACCCACACAGGTTGGAGCATCCCTGGAGGAGATGGAGCACCTCTGGAGGCAGTGGAGCATCCCACATCCACACCCACCCACCCTCCGCAGACTCAGCCCTGAGCCAGGCTCCGAGTTCTCCCAGCCAACACCCACAGCCCTTGGCTCTCCCACCTCATTCCCCTCAGCTCCACACAACCTCCCACCAACAGCAGGGAAACCAGGCAGGCTGCTGGGAATTCCCTTTCCAAGCAAGCTGGAGGCAAACACCCCATCCTGGCAGCGTCCACGTGCTCTCACACCTTTGGAGAACCCACGTCTCCTCTGTGCTCCCCTCCAACCCTAACCCCTGCAGCCCCCCCAAAACGTGCTCCCTGAGGGGACACAGCCCCCTGAGCATCCCCCCAGCTCGTCTCACCCCCCAGCAGATGCTCCTGACCTTCATCTCGCTGTGTTCTGTTCAGAGTATTCCCCTCGGGAGGAGGTTTAGGTTTCACCTGGGATTGATTAAAGCCTCGGGGCTGTGGAGGGTTAAGGTGACCTGGAAAGGACTCTGGACCAAGGTGGGCACTCGCTGGAGGTGACCCAGGGTGGGTAGGAGGTGCTTTGTTCCCAGGGCTGTGGGTCTCTGCACGCAGTGGGCAGGTCCCATCCACACCTCCCCACCTGCCCAAACGCTGGGAACTTCCATGGAGCCTGGAGCTGGGAGGTTTTGGAGGGGAGCCAGGGAGTCTGAATCAACACAGCACCAGCTGTCAGAACCAGTGGAGGTTTTGGGAAGCCATCCCAGGATTTGCTGGCTTTGCCCCCCGCTTGCCCCCAGCTGTGGGGGTCCCACAGAGCCACTGGTGTTCCCCACTCTGGGGAGACTTTAGAAGGATTCCCGAGGCCGGGGGAAGGCGAGGGGGAGGCCCGAGAACTCGGAGCCTGCTGCCCTCTCGGGATTGCAGCTCAAGTTCCTGGCACGGATTGGAGGCCAGGATTTGCATCTACAGGATTTCCAGTAAGTTTTGCAGGCCTGGAATGCAGCTGCAGAGCTGCGGGGTGGGGAGAAGGACCGGTGGGACTGGGGCAGTTGGGACCCCTCATGGGGGGACAGGGATGGGAGAAAAGCCCCGCCTGGTCCCTCAGATTGGGGGGTGCTGGGGGGTCCTGGGGGTGACACTGCGGAGGGGAGGATGCACCCAGCCCTCGTGTGTGAGGGAGCCTGGCTTGGGCGAGCAGGATGGGCAGAGCTGGGGGCTCCAGGGGTCCCAGGGATGGCACTGTCCAGGGACAGCGGTGGGGGACTGGGAAGGGCTGTGGAGCACCTGCTTCCGGGGAGGCTTGGCCTCGTCCCAGGGCAGTGAGCTCCTGGCATCGGTGCTCACACACTCTGACAAAGCATCTGGGACACCCAGGCCTCCCTCTGCTCCCTCCTGCCTACTGCCCTCTGGGCTGGGGGCTGCTCTGCCCCAAAACCAGGGGGAGCCCCCAGTCCAGGTCCTGGCGCTGCTGTGGGGCCATCACAGAGCTCACTGCCCTGGCCCCGAGCTGGGAGCAGTGCCAGTGTCACCAAGAGCTGGGGCACATCCCAGAGCAGCCCCACAGGAGGACAGGGATGATCCCACCCCACTCTGCTGCAACGGGGGGGTGGGACAGGGCAGGGACTCGGCTCCTCTTCCCACCTCCGAAGGTGAGGGAGGAAAAATGGATGGGGACTCTAAGAGAGCTCTGCACCTCTGGGCTCTCCAGTTCACAGAGCCAGTTCCCACCGGTGGCAGCAGGTCCCTGGGAAGATGGATCAGAGTCCCACGGGGGAGAAGAGCCACAGCTGATCCCCGAGGGAACAGTTTTCCAGCGCTGGCTGCAGGTGGTGACCCCAGAGCCCGTGACAGGACGGTGCCTTTCCCTGCCTCTCACACCTGGTGGCCCTCTGGGACCTGGTCCCCAGGGTGGCAGTGTGACCTTCAGCACAGGGAGCTTTCCTTGGAATGGGGTGGGGAAGGGCAGCTGCCAGCAGCCAACCCTGCAGGACACCGAGGGTGGCAGTGCCCAAGTGCCACCACTGTCCCACCCAGGGCAGTGCTGAGCTCATCACCCCCAGGAGAAACAGGATATTGGGAGAGAAGTGCTGCCTCTTGCTCCTCCTCCTCCTCCTCCTCTTCAGCCTTCATCGCCTGGGTCCCTGGAGGTGTGACCAACTCTGCAAAACGAAATCACAGGACTGGAACTTCAAAGGCCAGAAAACAACTTTTGCCCGGGTGATCTCAATAGCAAAACACACCCCCTAATCAGCTTAATGAGGGGGTGCTGCCACATACACGATTCCACTTCTCAGCTCCCCCCCCAGACTGTGCTACATGTAAAGGAGGAGGAGGAGAGGATTGGGCCATTCTGAGTCCGTGTTTTTGTTCCCTCAGCAAACCCCATATTTGTGAATCTGTGATCGAGAAGGTTCTTATTGAACACGACCAGACTTCTTGTGCCTAATTAGATACAACCAGGGATTCAGCCCGGCCACCCCCAGCCCCTCTGATCCCTTGGGACACAACAGGGTTTATTTTCAGCCAAATTTCATTCACTTAATACAACAGCTGGAAACTCCTTTCAGGAGCAGCGTCTGCCTCCCGTTTTGTGTCCTTTAAGCAATTTATTCCCATTCAAATTTAACTTATTTCAAGCAAACCCAACTGCTTTGGGTAAAGAGCTTTCCTTCAGCAGAGCCTCGCCGGCCACCTCTGCCTGGGGCTGATAAGGCAGTGCCTGTTCCAGCTGTCCTGCTCTTCCTTTCCAGGTCTCTCTCCATCCTGACGAGCGGATTCCCGGCTCTGCTCCCCGCTGGAAGCCAAAGGGATGCTTTGCCAGAGATGTTTGGGAGGCGGTGGAGGGGACTCCTCTCCTCTGGCTGCGTGGAGGGCGGTGGGGCAGCACCAGCCCGGCCCCTTCCCTCGGGTGGGATGAGCTGTTGGGATCGGTGGCAGCTGGAGAGGAGACAGAGGATGTCGCTGCTGGGAGAAGGGACCTCTGAGCCCTCAGGTTCGTGAGAAGGGACCTCTGAGCCCTCAGGTTCGGGAGAAGGGACCTCCAAGTTCCCTACTGGAGAAGAATTGATCTCTGAGTCCCCAGCTCCGGGAGGAGAGACCTCCGTGCCCCTGCCCTGTTCTCCCAGCCCTGCTCCAGCCCTTCCCGCGGCAGTTTGGAGCGGAGACAGAGAGGATGTGGCTGCCGGAGGAAGGGACCTGGGAGTCCCCAGTTCCGAGGAAAGGGACCTCCGAGCCCCCATCCCAGCTCCCCCATCCCGGCAGCCCCATCCCGCTCCAGCCCTTCCCACGGGGGCCCTCTCGTGGCCGATCCCACTCACGGACCTTTCCCGCGAGGTCCTTTTTTCCCTCCTGATTTCCCCTCTTCCGTGCTCAGGGGATGCTCCTCCGCCCGGGCGCATCCCGGCTCTGCCCGCACATCCCTCCCCGCGCCGCCGGCTCCCGGGAACCGCCAAAACTTCAAACGTCGGGGAATTGAGGTTTTACAAAGCCCGGGAGGCGCAGGGAATGCTGCGCCGGGCTGGGACAACCCGGCCCAGAGCCTGCAGTTGGCAGCAGCCAAATGCTGAGGCGGAGTTTTCCTTCCCCAGCAGCTGCAGCTCTTGGCAAGGGGGGCACCCGAGCCAGGGTGAGCTGCTCCCCCTGCACTTTTGGGCTTGGCAGTGCCAGGGAAGCACCCACGGGGGCCAGAGCTGCCTTCACCTGGGCACAGGTGACACCTCACGTGTCACAGCCTCTTCTCCTCACTGTGAAACCGCAGCCAACGGGGCGTTTGTGCCAGTGGGCACCAGCGCCAGGGCTGCCCCACAGCCCTCCCACCCCATCCCCTGTGGGCTCACCCTCCCCAGCACACCTCCTGACTTACCTCTGGGGGATGGAGACCTGCAGAGGTGACACCAGGAAGGGCTGAGTTGGCCCAAGGAGGGTCCCGTGGACGGAGGATGGTCCTGGTTTGGTGCTGAAGAACGAGACGAAGGCGCAGAACCCGAAATTTGAGGGACGTCGTGACCAAAAAGTTAACTTTTGGCCCGATTAAGGGTGATTTCGGCATCAAAACACAGCCTGCATATGCTAATGAGGTTAATGAAGGACATACTGTCACATACATGACTCTGCTGCTCGACTCTGCACCCTGTGAAGGAGGAGGAGGAGGTGCAGTAGCCAGATGGGGTTGGCCTTTTCTCCCAGGGAACAAGGGACAGGAGGAGAGGGAACGGCCTCAAGTTGCACCAGGGGAGGGTCAGGTTGGACACCAGGAGGAATTTCTCCATGGAAAGGGTGGTCAGGCCTTGGAAGGGGCTGCCCAGGGAGGTTTGGAGTGCCCAGCCCTGGAGGTGTCCCAGAAAGGGCTGGAGGTGGCACTGAGTGCTCTGGGCTGGGGGACAAGGCAGGGATGGGGCACGGGGGGGATCTATGGGCTGGGAGGGCTTTTCCAACCTTGATTATTGTGAGGGCAGAAATTCCACCTGGTTGGGAGGAAGATCCAAAAGAACCTTGGAGACAGTGGGCAGGTGACTCTCCTGTCTGTCCTCCCAGGGGGGGACACCCCCTTGGCAAAGCTTTGAGCCCCCCAAGCCCTCTGATCTCGGGACCAGCTGGAACAGAGGGG